CCTGGGTTCAGGCAATTCTCCTGCCTCAGCCTCCTGAGTAGCTGGGATTACAGGCACACACCACCATGCCCAGCTAATTTTTTGTATTTTAGTAGAGACGGGGTTTCACCTTGTTGACCACGATGGTCTCGATCTCTCGACCTCGTGATCCACCCGCCTCGGCCTCCCAAAGTGCTGGGATTACAGGCTTGAGCCACCGCGCCCGGCCTAATTTTTTGTATTTTTAGTAGAGACGGGGTTTCACCTTGTTGACCAGGATGGTCTCGATCTCTCGACCTCGTGATCCACCCGTCTCGGCCTCCCAAAGTGCTGGGATTACAGGCTTGAGCCACCGCACCCGGCTTATTTTTATTTATTTATTTTGAAACAGGGACTCGCTCTGTCACCCAGGCTGGAGTGCAGTGGTGCGATCTCAGCTCACTACAACCTCCGCTTCTCAGGTTCAAGCGATTCTCCTGCCTCAGCCTCCCGAGTGGCTGGGGTTACAGGCGCCCACCACCATGCCTGGCTAATTTTTGTATTTTCAGTAGAGACCGGGTTTCACCATGGTGTCCAGGCTAGTCTCGAACTCCTGCCCTCAAGTGATCTGCCCGCCTTGGCCTCCCAAAGTGCTGGGGTGACAGGGGTGAGCCTGCCACCCCACCTCCTGAGGAACTAAGAGACTCTTCTGACTCTTCCTCCCCCTCAAAGCCAGGCTCTGGTTCCGAGGCTGAGGAATTCCTTTCATGCTGCCTAATCTCAGCCACATTGTGTGTGCTTTTTGCTGAAGGAACCGCCGAAAACAGTCAGTCAACCAAAACAGTTATGCAAAACTGTTGCCAGCAGGATTTCTTTCCCAAGTGTTCTGATCAGCACAGAACAATCGCGGATCTTGTTCTCCTCGTCTCTGCTCCCAGCACTCCTGGGCCGGCCCCGCGTACAGCGGGAGAGCTGGACGGACCTGACCGCCTCCCACGGTCAGATGCTATTCCGTCTCCCACGAGGGAGGACCACGGCTTATCTGATGGAAAGCTGGTCTCCTGCTGAGAATGGGCAGCTGTGCAGCAGGGGAGGGGACTCCTGCCAAGCACGCCGGGGTTTTGGGGAGAAGCATCTGGAGACTGGCCCCCGGTTTCACTGTCTGGATTCTGGCTGGGAACTGGGGCAACTCTCTTGTGCAGGGATGATTGGGGGCTCTAGGCATCCATCACTGGCTGGTCCTCTCAGGGTGCACAGTTGGGGGATGCCTGCAGGCCTGGGGAGAACACGGCTAAGGTTCCAGAGTCGCTGGCAAGCCTCAAACAAGCTGGAGGATGCACAATCGGGACTCCCCTGGTCCCTGGGGAGATCACTGCTGGACTCACCATAAGCTTAGAAAAAGCCCAGGATGGCCAGGTGCCGTGGCTCATGCCTATAATCCCAGCCCTTTGCGAGGCCAAAATGGGTGGATCACTGGAGGTCAGGAGTTCAAGACCAGCCTGGCCAACATGGTGAAACCGCATCTCTATTAAAAATACAAAATTAGCCGAGCTTGGTGGCACATGCCTGTAATCCCAGTTACTCTGGAGGCTGAGGTAGGAGAGCCGCTTGAATCCAGGAGGCGGAGGTTGCAGTGAGCCAAGATCATACCACTACACTCCAGCATGGGCAACAGAGTGAGACTTCAGCATGGGCAACAGAGTGAGACTCCATCTCCAAAACAATAAAAACAAAACAAAACAAAAGTTAAAACTTTAGCCAAGCATGGTGGTGTGTGCTTGTAGTTCCAGCTACTCAGAAGGCTGAGGTGGGAGAATCGCTTGAGCCCAGGATTTCAAATTCTAAATGATCAGTTGCAAACTGATTTTCTTTCTATACTGATTAGCCCAACTCATTCCAGGATTCCTGCAACATACTATGCTGATGTACAAAGATAAATAAGACGTTGACTTACTGATCAGAGGACAAAGAAGGAAATATTTGGGTTGTATCATCATCCAACAAGAAGCATTCCTGTGACTTGTATGCAAAGACGAGAAAACCAGGGAGACGTGATTTGCAGATACAGTACGGGCTGTGCTGATTTGTAAAAAAAAAAAAAAAAGACAGAATAGCCAGGTGGAGTGGCTCACTTCTGTACCGCACTTTGGGAGGCCAAGGTGGGTGGATCACCTGAGGCCAGGAGTTTTTTTTTTTTTTTTTTGAGATGGAGTTTCGCTCTTGTTAACCCAGGCTGGAGTGCAATGGCACGATCTCGGCTCACTGCAACCTCCGCCTCCTGGGTTCAGGCAATTCTCCTGCCTCAGCCTCCTGAGTAGCTGGGATTACAGGCATGCGCCACCATGCCCAGCTAATTTTTTTTTTGTATTTTTAGTAGAGACGGGGTTTCACCATGTTGACCAGGCTGGTCTCGATCTCTTGACCTCGTGATCCACCCGCCTCGGCCTCCCAAAGTGCTGGGATTACAGGCTTGAGCCACCGCGCCCGGCGAGGCCAGGAGTTTTTGAGACCAGCCTGGCCAACAAGGAGAAACCCCATCTCTACTAAAAATACAAAAATTAGCTGGGCCTGGTGGCGGGCACCTGCAATCCCAGCTACTTGGGAGACTGAGGCAGGAGAAATGCTTGAACTTGGGAGGCGGAGGTTGCAGTGAGCCAAGATTCTGCTACTGCACTCTAGCCTGGGTGATGGAGCGATACTCTTAGTCTCAAAAAAAGAAAAGGAAAAAGACATGCTTAAATTTTAGGTTTCACTTGTCATCTTCTAAAGCTGTGCTTCTCAAACAGTGAGCAGACGAATGACCCGGGAATCTTGTTTTTTTTTTGAGACGGAGTTTCGTTCTTGTTACCCAGGCTGGAGTGCAATGGCAAGATCTCAGCTCACCACAACCTCCGCCTCCTGGGTTCAGGCAATTCTCCTGCCTCAGCCTCCTGAGTAGCTGGGATTACAGGCACGCGCCACCATGCCCAGCTAATTTTTTTTTTTGTATTTTTAGTAGAGGCGGGGTTTCACCTTGTTGACCAGGATGGTCTTGATCTCTTGATCCACCCGCCTCGCGGCCTCCCAAAGCGCTGGGATTACAGGCGTGAGCCACCGCGCCCGGCCCGGGAAACTTGTTAAAATGCAGATTCCAATTCAACGGGCCTGGGAAGGAGCTTGAGGTGCTGTGTTTCAAACCAGCTCCCCGATGGGGCTGATGCTGACACAAGTAAGATCCCTGTGCACACAGACTGTTTAGGCTGGGTCTTCTCTAATTTGCATACACAGTATCCCAGCTCTGACATCCAGGAACATCAAGCTTGTTCTTTCCTGCCCCTACCTCTGCTTGGAATACTCTCTGCCACCTCTTCACTCCTCCTCCAGGAAGCCTTCCTTGCCTGCCTGCTCTCTGCCCCCGCCCCCCCAGGACTCTCGGGAGCAGACTGTGAGGAGCATGCCCCAGGGCAGAGGTTCTAGGCCTTGGCTACAAATTAGAATCCCCTGGGAGCTTTAAGCCACCCACTATCACACCTGAGACCAATAAAACCAGAATTTCTGGGGGTGGGACCTAGCGTGGGTGAAAACAAGTAGTTCACAGGTGTCTATCAGGCACAACATTTGCAAAGTATTGACGGCATCTGATGTCTCTTTAAACCTGTCGGTAATAGTTCACTGTAACAGTTCACCACAGCCAGGTGCCATGGCTCATGCCTATAATCCTAGCACTTTGGGGGGCTGAGGCAGGTGGGTCACTTTGAGCCTAGGAGTTTGAGACCAGCTTGGGCAACATGGTGAGACCTCGTCTATACAGAAAATACAGAAATTAGCCAGGCATAGTGGCGCACGCCTATTGTCCCAGCTATCAGGAAGCTGAGGTCAAAGAATTGCTTGCGCTCCGGAGGTAGAGGCTGCAATGAGCCAAGATTACACCACTGTACTCCTGCCTGGGCAACACAGCAAGACCCTGTCTCAGAAAACACAATAAAATTTAAATTTTTTAAAAAAGGCCAAATCTGGTGGCTCATGCCTGTAATTCAAGCACTTTGGGAGGCTAAGGCAGGCTGATCACTTGAGGTCAGGAGTTTGAGACCGGCCTGGCCAACATGGCAAAACTCCATCTCTACCAAAAATATAAAAAATTAGCTGGTGGCTGGGCGTGGTGGCTCACGCCTGTAATCCCAGCACTTTGGGAGGCTGAGGTGGACAGATCAAGAAATCAGGAGACTGAGACCATTCTGGACAACATGGTGAAACCCTGTCTCTACTAAAAATACAAAACTTAGCTGGGCGTGGTAGCTTGTACCTGTAATCCCAACTACTTGGGAGGCTGAGGCAGGAGAATCACTTGAACCTGGGACGCAGAGGTTGCAGTGAGCTGAGATCGCACCACTGCACTCCAGCCTGATGACAGATTGAGACTCCGTCTCAAACAAAAAAAAAATTAGCCAAGTATGGTGGCGCATGCTTGTAATCTCAGCTACTCAGGAGATTGAGGCAGGAGAATCACTTGAAACTGGGAGGCGGAGGTTGCAGAGGGCTGAGATCCCGCCATTGCACTCCAGCCTGGGTGACAGAGTGAGACTTCGTTTCAAAAACAAGAAACAACACACACAAAACAAAACAAAAACAAACAAACAAAAAACCAGGCCAGGCACAATGGCTCACACCTGTAATCCCAGCACTTTGGGAGGCCAAGGCAGGCAGATCACCCGAGGTCAGGAGTTAGAGACCAGCCTGGCTAACATGGTGAAACCCCATCTCTACTAAAAATACAAAAAATTAGCTGGGCATGGTGACACAGGCCTGTAATCCCAGCTACATGGGAGGCTGAGGAGAATGGGGTGAACCTGGGAGGCAGAGGTTGCAGTGAGCAGAGATCACGCCTTTGCACTCCAGCCTGGGCAACAAGAGCAAAACTCTATCTAAAAGAAAAAAAAGAAAAGAAAAATGTTCTGGCCCCTCGCCTGAAAGCCCCCTCAACAGCAGCTGCCATTTGCTCTAATTATGTACAACTGCCCTAGCCCCTGGAATGACCCGTTTCGATGTTCCTTTGCCGACTGCAGGAGAAGAATTGCACCCACACGTTCAGCCCGTCCTGCTCAACAGTCTTCCTCCCCGAGAACCTGCGTCGGGCCTGCCCTGGCCCCACAGGCGATGCCTCCGACCCCGGGGGCCGTGTGGACCCAGATGCACAACTGACCTGGAACACGACTGAGCGACATCAGACCCAGCGTCAGGCGCAGAGCTGTTCGTTCTGTTGGAGAACATTCCAGAGGTTCCGGAAGCCGGCAGGGCTTGGGGCTCACCCGAGTTTCTGTGTCAGGAGCTCTCCCCAGGCATCTGCTGTGACTCAACTCAACAAAGCTTCACTGAGTACGAGCTTGGGTCAGGTCCCGAGAGCGGATTGAGGGAGGAGCCACACGGATGGGGGGGTTGCTGCGGGGGGCGGGGGCAGAGAATGAACTCGCGCGCCAGTGCTTGGTGGGCAGAGCCCGGGGTGTTGGAGGCCAGTTCAGGAGCTGGGTTCACTCAGTCTGTTTGGTCATGGGATCAATGGGCCCCCACTGGAAAGTTCTGGAATGAGGGACCCATCTCTGAGGGTGTGCCAGTGGCTGGCTGGCCACTGCTCGCAAAGCCAGGGAGGCAGGGAAGGGGCTCCTGCCCAGCTGGCCAGTGGCTGAGACGCCAGGCTCCAGGTCGGCTGTGGGTTCCCTTCCCCACAACCCTGGCATTCACACAGGCCATCGTGAGTGCCTTCGCTTCATCTCTGGGCTCTGGCTTCAGGGTGTTAGTTCTGTATACACTTCTTTTCCTTTATTTTTTATTTTTATTTATTTATTTATTTATTTTATTTTATTTTTGAGATGGAGTTTTTGCTCTTGTTACCCAGGCTGGAGTGCAATGGCGCGATCTCGGCTCACCGCAACCTCCGCCTCCTGGGTTCAGGCAATTCTTCTCCCTCAGCCTCCTGAGTAGCTGGGATTACAGGCACGTGCCACCATGCCCAGCTATTTTTTTGTATTTTTTAGTAGAGACGCGGTTTCACCATGTTGACCAGGATGGTCTCGATCTCTCGACCTCGTGATCCACCCGCCTCAGCCTCCCAAAGTGCTGGGATTACAGGCTTGAGCCACCGCGCCCGGCCTTATTTATTTATTTTTGAGACGGAGTCTCGCTCTGTCACCAGGCTGGAGTGCAGTGGCACTGTCTCTGCTCACTGCAACCTGTGCCTCCCAGGTCAAGCAATTCTCCTGCCTCACCCTCCCGAGTAGCTGGGATTACAGGCATGCACCACCATGCCTGACTAATTTTTGCATTTTTAGTAGAGATGGGGTTTTGCCATGTTGTCCAGGCTGGTCTCGAACTCCTGACCTCAGGTAATCAGCCTGCCTCGGCCTCTCAAAGTACTGGGATTATAGGCATGAGCCACCACGCCCAGCCTACACTGCTTTTTTTTTTTTGAGCTGAAGTCTCACTGTGTCACTCAGGCTGGAGTGCAATGGCGTGATCTCGGCTCACTGCAACCTCTGCCTCCCAGGTTGAAGCCATTCTCCTGCCTCAACCTCCCAAGTAGCTGGGACTACAGGTGTGTGCCGTCCAGCCAATTTTTTGTATTTTTAGTAGAGATGGGGTTTCACCATGTTAGCCAGGATTGTCTCAATCTCCTGATCTCATGATCTACCTGCCTCGGCCTCTCAGAGTGCTGGGATTACAGGTGCAAGCCACCGCGCTCGGCTGTACACTGCTTTTAAGTCTTACATTGTGCACCAGAGAAGAGTCAAACAAAGCAAATATTAGCAGCAGAAAACACCGTTTCTCTGTACACATGACCCAGGTGTATCGCAGAGTGAACACGGTGAGTGTGCATACTCGGGAAAGGCGCAAGAACTGACATTTTACAAAGGTCCCTGAAGGGGTAGAAAACAGGCCCTGAGAGGCACAGGTGCCAAAAATGATTGTCATGAATCAATGGGAAAGTGTGTTTGTGCAGCGCCACTGGCATCTGATATGTTGGTTATAATTGGCTGCCGCCAGCCCTGTCTCCTTTATTAATTGCACATATTTCTCTTGATGAAAGTGACATGCTGATAGCAGCGATGTGGGCTTGAAGACGAGAATGCCTTTCTATCTAAGCCTCAAGTCACATTTGTGATCCGAACCTAAGACAGAGAGGAGCCCAAAGGTCACTTCTCCTCCAGGAACGTCTGGATGGATGGCTTATTGGAGCTGCTCGCATAATTGTACCACCTTAAGGTAGCCACACAGTGACAGTTTTCCTGGGTCCTTTAAATCATGATGCTTGATAGAATGACTCTGCCTGAAGCCTTCCAGCAGCTGGAGTTTGATTCTGCAGGCAAAGAAAACAAAGCCGTTGCGAGGACTTCCAAAATTCAAACCACTCAATCCACCAATGATTGCTAAGATCGTGGGCTCGAGTTCAAGGAGGAACAGGATGTATACATGATACCAAAGTATCAAAACGAAAACAGTGATCTGGCCAGGCGCAGTGGCTCATGCCTGTAATCCCAGCCAGCACTTTGGGAAGCTGAGGTGGGCTGATCACCTGAGGTCAGGAGTTCAAGACCAGCCTAACTAATAAGGCAAAACCCCATCTCTACCAAAAATACAAAAATTCGCCTGGCATGATGGCACATGCCCATAATTTCAGGTACTCAGGAGACTGAGGCAGGAGAATTGCTTGAACCCAGGAGGCAGAGGTTGTAGTGAGCCAAGACTGAGCCACTGCACTCCAGCCTGGCCAACAGAGCCAGATTTAGTCTCAAAAAAAAAAAAAAAAAAAAAAATTGATCTTTGAGGCTGGCACAGTGGCTCATGCCAATATCCCAACACGTTGGGAGGCTGAGGCAGAAGGATTGCTTGAAGCCAGGAGTTCAGAACCAGCCTGGACAATGTAGCAAGACCCTGTCACTACAAAAAATACAAAAGTTAGCTAGGTGTACTGGCAGGTGCCTATAGTCCCAGTTACTTGGGAGGCTGAGGTGGGAGGATTGCTTGAGCCCAGGGAAGCCGAGGCTGCAGTGAACTGAGATCACACCACCCACTCCAGCCTGGACAACAAGGAGACCTTGTATCAGAAAAAAAAAAAAAAAAAAAAAAGAATTATGAAAGAAAGAAGAAAAAAAAAAAATGTGACTGGGCATGGTGGTCATGCCTGTAATCCCAGCACTTTGGGAGGCCGAGATGGGTGAATCACCTGAGGTCGGGAATTTGAGATCAGCCTGACCAACATGGAGAAACCCTGTCTCTACTAAAAATATTAGCCGGGCATGGTGGCGCATGCCTGTAATCCCAGCTACTCAGGAGGCAGAGGCAGGAGAATCGCTTAAACCTGGGAGGCGGAGGTTGTGGTGAGCCAAGATCATGCCATTGCACTCCAGCCTGGGCAACAAGAGTGAAATTCCATCTCAAAAAAAAAAAAAAAAAAAAGAAAGAAAGAAAAAGAAAAAATGCTGTGTCTAAGTGGACCCATGCAATTCAAACCTGTGTTGGTCAAGGGTCAACTGCACTTTAAGAAAAAGGGCTTTTTGGCCGGGTGCGGTGGCTCAAGCCTGTAATCCCAGCACTTTGGGAGGCCGAGGCGGGTGGATCATGAGGTCAAGAGATCGAGACCATCCTGGTCAACATGGTGAAACCCCATCTCTACTAAAAATCCAAAAAATGAGCTGGGCATGGTGGTGCGTGCCTGTAATCCCAGCTACTCAGGAGGCTGAGGCAGGAGAATTGCCTGGAGGCAGGAGAATTGCCTGAACCCAGGAGGCGGAGGTTGTGGTGAGCCGAGATCGCGCCATTGCACTCTAGCCTGGGTAACAAGAGCGAAACTTTGCCTCAAAAAAAAAAAAAAAAAGAAAGAAAAGAAAAAGAAAAAGGGCTTTTTTTTTCTTTTGTTTTTTAAGACGGAGTCTCACTCTGTCACCCAGGCTGTAGTGCAGTGACATGATCTTGGCCCACTGCAACTCGCTGCAACCTCCACCTCCCGGGTTCAAGTGATTCTCCTTTGTCAGCCTCTAGAGTAGCTGGAACTATAGGCGCCTGCCACCTTGCCCAGCTAGTTGTATTTTTAGTAGAGACTGGTGTTCACCATGTTGGCCAGGATGGTCTTGATCTCTTGACCTCGTGATCTGCCCACCTTTGCTTCCCAAAGTGCTGGAATTATAGCTGTGAGCCACAGTACCTGGCCTGTTTTGTTTTTTTGAGATGGAGTCTCACTCTGTCACCCAGCTGGAGTGCAGTGGCGTGATCTCAGCTCACTGCAACCTTTGCCTCCTGGGTTCAAGCGATTCTCCTGCCTCAGTCTCCTGAGTAGCTGGGATTACAGGCACCCGCCACCATGCCCAGCTAATTTTTGTATTTTTAATAGAGATGAGGTTTCACCGTGTTGGCCAGGCTAGTCTTGAACTCCTGACCTCACGATCTGCCTGCCTTGGCCTCCCAAAGCGCTGGGATTACAGGTGTGAGCCACCACGCCTGGGCAGAAAAAGGTTTTAAAATGTTTACAAAAGAGAAAGAAAAAAAAGTTAGGCTTTCCTGTCACCTTCTGGTGAAAGCAGGCCACCTGACGTCAGTCTCTTCCTGTACTTCATCCTCAGAATGGCGCAACCGATAGCTATATCTTTATAGTGAATAATTGTGTCTGTGGTGGTTTGATGGCCTCCTGCACGGGAGCTGTCAGGTGCACTTTCGTCAGCAGAGCAAAACCATTGATTTTCTGCCCATCGGTCCAAGGCACAAACTGAGCAGTTGCCGGTGGCCAGGATCAGAGCTGGAGGGTCCAGCCCTGGAGCCCAGAACCCTTCCTACCACTGGTCCCAACAAGGGTGGATAAAATGTTCTCTCCCTACTGAATCACATTCTGGTGCAGTTTAACTTCCAAGAAAGAGGCCAGGCAAGGCCAGGCACAGTGGCTCACGCCTGTAATCCCAGCACTCTGGGAGGCCAAGGTGGGTGGATCACCTGAAGTCAGGAGTCCAAGACCAGCTTGGCCAATATGGTGAAACCCTGTCTCTACTAAAAATACAAAAATTAGCCAGGTGTGCTGGCGTGCACCAGTAATCCCAGCTACTTGGAAGGCTGAGGTGAGAGAATCGCTTAAAACCGGGAGGTAGAGGTTGCAGTGAGCCAAGATCACACTCAAGCCTAGGCAAGAGAGCAAGACTCCGTCTCAAAAAAAAAAAAAAGAAAGAAAGAAAATCAAGAAAAAGGCCAGGTTCATTCCTGTAATTCCAGCACTTTGGGAGGCAGAGGAAGGTGAATTCCTTAAGCCCAGGAGTTTGAGACTAGCCTGGACTACACAGTGAGACCCTATCTCTACCAAAAATGTAAAAATTAGCCAGGCATGCTGATGCAAGCCTGTAGTCCCAGCTACCCAGGAGGCTGTGGTGGGAGGATTGCTTGAACCTGGGAGGTGTAGGCTCAAGTAAGCCAAGATTTCACCACTGCACTCCAGCCTGGGCAGAGTGAGACTCTGTCTCAAAAAAAAAAAAAAAAAAAAAAAAGGAAAGAAAAAGTAAAGCACCTTTAGTCCAAAGAGGATCACAGGAGGGTTGTTTTGCCATTTTTCTGATGGCCTGAGCCCTGGAAGCCAGCAAGCACCGTTACAGAATAATGGGCAGGGCAGCAGGTGGCCACGCTGCTGGCTGGAAGCACCGGAGGAGGCTGTATCCGGCCTGTGCACAGAGAGCTCCCGGCTTGTGAATGCACGCACTCCCACGACTGGCTGTGTACTATACCTAACAGTTGTGATGTGTTCATCATTGCACCATATTATTCTTAATCACTTTTTTTTTTTTTTTTTTTTTGAGACGGAGTTTCACTCTTGTTACCCAGGCTGGAGTGCAATGGCGCGATCTCGGCTCACCGCAACCTCCGCCTCCTGGGTTCAGGCAATTCTCCTGCCTCAGCCTCCTGAGCAGCTGGGATTACATGCACGCGCCACCGTGCCCAGCTAATTTTTTGTATTTTTAGTAGAGACGGGGTTTCACCATGTTGACCAGGATGGTCTCGATCTCTTGACCTCGTGATCCACCCGCCTCGGCCTCCCAAAGTGCTGGGATTACAGGCTTGAGCCACCGCGCCCGGCCTCTTAATCACTTTTTAAATAGAACCTGTGCGTGTGTGTTGTCTAGGTGAACATAGATGGTGCCTGTCCCTGGGGAGACGAAGAGAATTAAATCTCGGAATTTGAGAGACACACTCTTCTCCAGAACACAGTGCCAGCGGCAACCCCAGGCGGCGGTAAGGGACATGGCAGCAGTGGGCTGGGCCAACTACAAATATTTGCACAGGTGAACACTTTAGAAAAGGAAGTCCAATGGAGCATTCAGGTGGCTGAGGAGAAGGATGAGCCTCACGGAGCCCCACACCCTGAGCTTCTTCAGGGAGCGGCCGAAGCCTGTGTTCACACACAGACCCAGCAGCTAGCCCCCCTCCACCGCACAAACCAGCCACAGACAGGCCAAGGTCACTTGTGGCCTTGTGGCATGCAGCCTGGGGTTAATTAAGACCTGATGTCCAGGCACAGTGGCTCACGCCTATAACCCCAGGCCTTTGGGAGGCTGAGGCAGGAGGTTCACTTAAGCTAAAGGGTTCCAGACCAGCCTAGGCAACATAGTGAGATCCCATCTCTACAAAAATTAAAATTAAAAAGTAGCCGGGTGCAATAGCTCACGCCTGTAATCCCAGCACTTTGGGAGGCCAAGGCAGGTGTATCACGAGGTTAGGAGTTTGAGATCAGCCTGGCCAACATGGTGAAACCCCGTCTCTAGTAAAAATACAAAAATTAAGCTGGGCGTGGTGGCTCATGCCTGTAATCCCAGCACTTTGGGAGGCCAAGGCGGGCGGATCACGAGGTCAGGAAATCAAGATCATCCGGGCCAACATGGTGAAACCCCGTCTCTACTAAAAATACACAAAAATTACCTGGGCGTGGTGGCACACGCCTGTAGTCCCAGCTACTGGGGAGGCTCAGGCAGAATTACTTGAACCCAGGAGGCGGAGATTGCAGTGAGCCAATATGGCGCCACTGCACTACAGCCTGGGTAACAGTGTGAGACTCCGTCTCGGTTAGGGGGGAAAAAAAAAAAAGTAGCCAGGCCAGATGCAGTGGCTGATGCCTGTAATCCTAGGATCTGGGAGGCCGAGACAGGTGGATAACCTGAGGTCAGGAGTTTAAGACCAACCTGACCAACAATATGATGAAACCCCATCTCTAAAAAAATATAAAAATTAGCTGGGCATGATGACGGGTGCTTGTAATCCCAGCTACTCAGGAGATTGAGGTGGGAGAATTGCCTGAACCTAAGAGGTGGAGTGAGTCAAGGCTGTGCCACTGCACTCCAGCCTGGGGTGAAGAATCGAGACTCCATCTCAAAAAAAAACAAAAGTAGCCGGGTTTGGTGGTATGTGCCTATAATCCTGGCTACTCAGAAGGCTGAGGTGAGAGGATCACTTGAGCCCAGGAGGCAGATGCTGTAGTGAGACAAGATCGCGCCCCTGCACTCCAGCCTGGGCGACGGAGTGAGATTCTGTCTCAGAAAACAAAACAAAGCAAAAGGATGAACGGTCAAATGTATGTTCATCTGTTAAATGTTTACTTTTCTTTACTTAGGATGACAGTAAGTAGCAAACAGAAGCACTGTGACAAGCTGAGAGAGGAAGGAGTGAAGGAAAAAGAGACTGGGAAAAGCACAAAGCTTTCTATTTTAGTACCTTTTGCAGCACTTTTTGTCTGAGTTTTCATTGTGCACCAGGCCCTAAAAATGATGTAGCCAGCCTTGGATGTGATTCACACACACAAAAGCTCCGTGGAGCCTTCGGTTATTATTATTGTCACCCAGGCTGGAGTGCAGTGGCTCAATCTCAGCTCCCTGCAACCTCTGCCTCCCAGGTCCAGGTGACTCTTGTGCCTTAGCCTCCCGAAGGGCACAGGTGTGAGCCACCACACCTGGCCACTAGATTCTCCCCACCCCCACCCCCATCCCGAGACGGAGTTTTGCTCTTGTTGCCCAGGCTGGAGTGTAATGGCGCCATCTCGGCTCACCACAACCTCCGCCTCCCAGGTTCCAGCGATTCTCCTGCCTCAGCCTCTGGAGTAGCTGGGATTACAGCCTCCTGAGTAGCTGGGATTATAAGCATGAGCCACCATGCCTGGCTAATTTTGCATTTTTAGTACAGACAAGGTTTCTCCATGTTGGTCGGGCTGGTCTTGAACTCCTGACCTCAGGTGATCCTCCTGCCTTGGCTTCCCAAAGTGCTGGGATTACAGGTATGAGACACCATGCTGGAACAATTCTTTTTTTAAGGGATGATTTGCAAAAATAAATGTCAGCAACTTGGGAGCAGTGCTAGACCAAGGCCCGTTTTTGCTCTACTTCCTAACCCTGAACCGAATGTAACTAAGTCAGTGGGCACCTCCACCGCCTGGATACTCCACCCCCTTCCAACTGCAAGCTCCTCAAAGATGAGGGCAACGTGGGCTCCAAAAAGCACGTGATACGTGAATGAATGTGTGAGTGAGTGCAATCTGTCCACATGGGTGTCAGTTTTCCTGCTAGTGAAACCAACTGCAACAAAAGATTTTTTTTTCCCTAAGGCAAAGAAAAAAGAAGAAAAAAGAGAAAAAAGCCTTCCACAGATTGCTTGCCTCATAGGCTGTGTCCACAGAAGAGAATAGATTGCGTTGAAATCCAGGAGCCTTTTCTCTGAAACCCAAAGTCTGTGAGGAGCGGAAGGTGGATGATGGGAAAATCTGATAAAAGAGTCTAATATTCAAAAGAGCCCGGTTAAATGTGCACAGCCTTGAATGGAGACGTGAGCCAGACGCTCTCAGGATGCACTGAAATTGTTCTGTTATCTAGATGAGACAGAAATGTTTTGGAGGAGTGATGGTGGAAGACAGCTGAAGACTTCCTGTCATTTGAGCGTTTATAAACCCTCCCAGTCTCAATCATTGCTCCTAAAAGCATCCACATTAAGATGATGATTAAACGCAAATACTTCATCAGGTGTCCCTCAAATCCCAGGGCACAGATGGGCTGCCTGCTACTTCCCGCCCTGCATCAAGGGAGCACTGAAGCGGTAGCCCAGGCTTGACTGAAGGAGGATGCCCAGGGTTCTCCTTGGGGATCCCCTGATAAGGAGGAATAAGACCCATCCTTAGGTGGATTGAGCTTTTCTTCAGGAATTCAGTTTCATCCGCCTGTAACAAAAAACTCAATATAGGGCTGGGTGCAGTGGCTCACGCCTGTAATCACAACACTTTGGGAGGCTGAGGCAGGCAGATCACTTGAGCTCGGGAGTTTGAGACCAGCCTGGCCAACATGGTGAAACCCCGTCTCTATTAAAAATACAAAATTAGCTAGGTGTGGCGGTGGGCGCCTGTAATCCCAGCTACTTGGAAGGCTGAGGCAGGAGAATCGCTTGAACCTGCGAGGCTGAGGTTGCAGTGAGCCGACATGGTGCTACTGCACTCCAGGCGGGGCTACAGAGCGAGATTCCATCTAAAAAAAAAAAGAAAGAAAAAAAGAAAGAAAACTTTAGCCTGATGTGGTGGAGCTCATCTGTAGCTACTCAGGAGGCAGAGGTGGAAGGATTACTTGAGCCCAGGAGGTCAAGGCTGCAGTGATCTGAAATTGCACCGCTGCACTTCAGCCTGGGCAACAGAGTGAGACCCTGTTTCAAAAAAAAGAAAAAGTCAATTTATATGGAATCGTTGTGATATTTTAACATATTTTCTCTATATATATATATATATATATTTGTATTTTTAGTAGACACGGGTTTTCAGTTTCATCATGTTGGCCAGGCTGGCCTTGAACTTCAGACCTCAGGTGATCCACCCGCCTTGGCCTCCCAAAGTGCTGGAAATATAGGTGTGAGCCACCACACCCGGCCTTCCTGATAGTTATTTACAAAGAACACCATTTTTTTTTTTCCAGAAAATTTTCAGGAAAAAAATATTTTCAGATTGTTCCACTGACTTACACATAGGAAACTGCTAGAATAAATAAATCTTGCTTATTTGGGAGCCTGGCAAAACATGAATGAAACATTGCACGCAAAGTCTCTTCTTTTAGTCCATGGCTGAAAGCCTGTGAAACGACCTGATGAGTGGCTGGTATTGTATAAGACGGTGACCTAAAAACCTCGTCAGTGCCCTGGCATGCCACCTGCAACAGCAGGGTATGATCATAATGAGCTTTATTGACATCACAGGTCTGAGAGCATAGATGGTATCCATTTCCAGTTGTTTAATTGAAGCAGCAAAAGATCTTGTAATATGGAGTTGACATGGAGAGTTTGTCAAGCTACAAGATAATTTTGCAAGATCTGTGACCTTGGGTCATAAAATGACTGATCAAGAGGGAGCATTTTGTCATCCAGTAGAAGTGACTATATCGACTTATTTTATTCTTAGCTCTAATACCAACAGAGAGAATGACCTGCTTCGTATTGCTTTATGTTTCAACCCAGAGTGACTCTGTGGGCAAATCAATACAAGTATTTTCTAAAATAAGCTATAAATAAATAATAAGAGGAACTTTTATTTTTATAGTACTGAAAAAAAATGGGAAGGTCTTGAAATTCTGCAATATAGCCTTTTGAAGCTAATGCCAACACACATAAACACTAACTCAGGAAGACAAATATTGATGATTTTCTTCAATGTTTTGCATGAGGCCATGTTACACATAATTCTTTCTTGTAAGCAAAATCTTTTTTTTTTTTTTTTTTTGAGATGGAGTTTCGCTCTTGTGGCACAGGCTGAAGTCCAATGGTGGGATCTTGGTTCACTGCAACCTCTACCTCCTGGTTCAAGCAATTCCTCTGCCCTAGCCTCCCAAGTGCTGGGATTACAGGCATGAGCCACCATGCCCGGCCCAAAATAACATCTGATTTAGGGGCAAAACACTGAAAGTCACACAAATTGTAAGGATTTTTTTTTTTCTTTTGTTAAAATAAAAAAAAAATTTTTTTTTGAGAAAAAAAGAATAATAAAAAGAATAAAGAAGAGGAAGAAAGAGAAAGAGGAAGAGGGAGAGAGAATGGGGGTATTGCTTTATTGCCCAGGCTAGAATGCAGTCTAAATATGGGTATGCCTATAATTGTCCTTAATAATGGAGACATAAAATAAAATGAGGGAAGAGAATAACAAACAAGGAGCCAACCAACATTTCGTTTAAACTTCTAAGTTGATATGATGTGGTACTGATAAGAGTGTATGTTTTGTGTATTTAAAGTGGAGAGTTCTATAAATGTTAATTACGTTTACTTGTTCCAGATCTGAGTTCAAGTCCTGGATATCGTTGTTAATTTTCTGTCTCATTGATCTAATATTAATGTTGAAGTCTCCGACTATTATTGTGTGGGAGTCTAAGTCTCTTTATTAGTCTTTTTTTTTTTTTGAGACGGAGTTTCACTCTTCACCCAGGCTGGAGTGCAATGGCGCGATCTTGGCTCACCACAACCTCCGCCTCCTGGGTTCAGGCA